AAGTAGGACTAATCACCCTATGCCTGTGGGACACCAAGCAGGGCCCAAAATTATAGCCCATTATAGCCTATATCTGGGGTGCCCAAGATGTTGATTGCAAGCATTCAACCAGTGGATCACAAAGCAGACCGGCATGTGCAGCGGCAGTCAAAAAAGAAAACTGAATGTTAGGAATCATTTTAAAAGGGATAGAGAATAAAACAGAGAGTATCTTATTGCCTCTGTATAAAACCATGGTACGCCCACATCTTGAATACTGCATACAGATGTGGTCGCCTCATCTGAAAAAAAAATATTGGCATTGGAAAAGATTCAGAAAAGGGCAAGAAAAATGATTAGGGGTTTGGAATGGGTCCCATATGAAGAGAGATTAAAAGACTGGGACTTTTCAGCTTGGAAAAGAGGAGACTAAGAGGGGATATGAGAGAGATCTATAAAATGACAACTGGTATGGAAAAAGTGAATAATGAAAAGTGATTTACTTATTCCTGCAATAAAAAGAACTAGGGGTCACCAAATGAAATTATTAGGCAGCTGGCTTAAAACAAACAAACAGAAGCTATTCTTCACTCAGCGCACAGTCAACCTGTGGAACTCCTTGCCAGAGGATGTGGTGAAGACTAGGACTTTAACAGGGTTAATCTAGATAAATTCATGGAGGATAGGTCCATCAATATTATTAGCCAAGATGGGTAGAAATGGTGTCCCTAGTTTCTGTTTGCCTAGAAATCGGTGATAGGAGAGGGATCATGTGAGAATTACCTGTTGTGTTCCTTCTTTCTGGGGCATCGGGTATTGGCCAATGTCAGCAGATAAGTTACTGGGCTACGTGAACCTTTGGTCTGACACAATTTGGCTGTTCTTATGTTCTTATGGCAGTCTGTTTCGCCAGGGAGGGCTGGTACAGAATCAGCCCCTGTCTGGCCAGGTTGTGGCTCAAGTCTTCCCCTGGCCTGCCAAAGCATGGCAACTTGGAGGCAACTTGGGGAATAAAAGAGGAGTGTATTCACTCCCTTCATACATCTGCATACAGACCTGAAATATACTCACACATTTATTCTGTCCAAGCTTCTTGTCCTGAACCCTGAAAAGACAGAAGTGGTATTATTGGCCAGGGATCATTTTTATCAGATAACTCATTCCTCTTCTATGTCTCTGCTGAGAGGCTCATGTGCAGGTCATGAGTCAAGCTAAAAATTGTAGCATTATTTACCATATCCTGTCCATGGAAAGTCATGCATTGAACCTCATTAAGATACGTGATTTTCAGCTATGCAATTTACATAATTTGTGTCCTTGGTTTATTTTATGACATACTGAACTCAAGTCTTTGTTATTGTCATTCCTTCTTTGCTGGGCTATTGATGAGGTTGAGCCGAATGCGTGAATTGCTCATGGGTTTCTTAAAATAAAGGAATAAGGGATCTTTCAGAAAAGGCTTTATTTTCCGAAAGATCCACATCTAGACTGGCGCTTTTTTCGGGCAAAGCTCCGAGCCGGAAAAAAGCAGCAGCCATGTTTATGCAAATGAAGCGGGGGGGATTTAAATCCTCACTTCATTTGCAATTGCGATGTGTCTAATTTGCATCCCTTTTACGGAAAAGGGATGCAGTCTAGACACAGCCCTGATGTTGTGGCTTATGTGGTTAGGTCCTGCGATGGTGTTGCTTCTATAGATATGTGAACAAAATTGGAAACTGGATGAGCAGGTTCCTGGGTGAGTGTATCAAAGATGTGGCTGCTGGAAAGTATTTGCTTCAGATTGGGGGTTGTCTGTAAGTGAGGAATGGCCTGTCTCCCAAGGCCTGAGAGAGTGAGGGATTGTTTTCCAGAATAGATTGTAGATTGTCAATTATGCAAGGAAGAGGTTTATTTTCTTTGTTGGGCCTGTCTTGAAGTAGTTGACTTCTGGGTACTTGTCTGTCTCTGTCAATCTGTTTCCCTTTGTAAATTTTTGTCTCTATCTGTGGGACTGGAGCATTGTAGATTTTTGTCTCTATCTGTGGGACTGGAGCAAATCCTGTTGTATTTTAGGGCTTGACTATAGACAATGGATTGTGTGTAAATTTACTAGGCTCAATACATGTTTTACTATAAATACTAATATCAATCTATCACTAGTGTGACTAATGAAAGCATGAATAGTAAAACAATAGTGAATAGTAAAGCATTTTTAAAAAGTTTTTTTAGCATGCTAATAGCATTGCATTGGATTTTTTCCTAAAACAACAGTTCGAGTCTTCATTAAACTAAAGTATTCAGCCTTGTAGTTTATCCTCTTAGAAATGAGAGTTCTGCTTTCATAAGCCACCATGGTGGTCTTAAAACTGTTTTTAAGAGATTTTCTTTTGTGGTATCACTGAGGTTATGATAGGATTTTTGCTAACATTTTAAATATGAGAGGACACCAATGAACAACTCTATAAACAGAGACTATATTACAAACTATGTTATAAACTTTTCAGATGTCCCCTTATTGGGGATAAAATGAAGAAAAAAACAACAACAACCCTTTATAACAGTAAGTCTGTAGCCACTGAACTGTTGCAAAAGAAAACAAAACCCCCCAAGTATACAGGAAACATAAGGTCCCATAATTGAGAAACAAAGAAATTGCTTAATACTGAGTTTTGTGCAACTTATCCCAAGAAGTGTCCAGTTTAAAATTATTCTATGTTCATTGTATAGTTGTGGAGGCATAGAGCATTTGGATGGTTTCCTAATAAGGAGTCCCAATAAATTAGTTGTGTAGTGTGGAGAGATTTTAAAGTGTGAAAATTTTATACATAAACAATGCAAGAAATAGTAATAGCCTTAAACCATGCCTTTATTTCAAGTTAGCAGGGATGTCACTGTAGTATGTAACACTTATCCCACAATTCACTAAAACATAAGCATGAAACCAGAGGGCTGAAACCAGAAAGTTATGTTTCCTTTACAAAGCAAAATAACATTCTGACTTAGAAAATACAATGCAAGTTACTTTGGAAAAGTGAATTAAATGCTTAGTTCACAAAACTAAACTGGAATGCAACCCGTCATTGATTTGTAGGGCTGCTAATACAGGCAGTCCCCGGGTTATGTACAAGATAGGGACTGTAGGTTTGTTCTTAAGTTGAATTTGTATGTAAGTCGGAACTGGCACATATAGTAGGGGAAACTATAGCCAAACATTTCTCCAGAGCTCAATTTTATTCTCCACACCTCACTTCCCTCAGTCCTTTATTCTCAAGCTGAGGTGTCTGCTGAGAAAACTCGCTCCGCGTCTCCCTGGTCTGCTGGGCGGGGGAGGGGGAGGCGCTAGCTTCGCGTCTCCCTGGTCTGCTGGGGGGAAGAAGCTAGTGCGGGGTTGCCTCACCCCGTTTGTAAGTAGGGATCCGATGTAAGTTGGATCCATGTAACCCGGGGACTGCCTGTACTGTGTTTTATTTACATCAAGTACCTTTAAATTATTTTTTCAGTCATTTCTATTGTAGAGTATTATTTCAGAAAGTTTTACTAGAGGCAAAAATTACAAATATTTTAAGATCACTGAAGAAGATACTCTTAGAAATATTCGAATTACAGGTCTGGTAAGACTGGGTTTGAATCTTTCCCGGACTGTCAAACAACCGAGGCATGAACAAAATCCAATTAATTTTTAAATTTAATGCAGTGATTCGGATGGTCAAATCTAAAAGACAAAACTCAATTTGTTTATAATGAAGCCCTCTTAAAGGAATGGAGGAGGGCAGGGAAAATGGAGAGGGGGAGAAAAGGGGCAGCAATGACAACCGCTGTCTGCATGTACTCTCTCTATATCTGCCTCCTGAAAGGGGGTGTTTTGGCTCCGCCTGTCTGAGTAGTTCTGTCTGTGCCTGTGTGTATGTAAATGAATGCTAGCGTGAATGAGTGTCAGAGAGCTAGCTGTCAGTGTCCGTGAGGGTGTTAACACATACCCGTGAGTTGGTCTGGCTATGGGATAATTACGTGTGTAATCACCTTAATAGAGATGTAATAAAATGACACATGTCCACGCCAAAATGCGGTAGATGTTAGTAAAGACTGTGTGTGTGTGTGTGTACACACAACCTCCAGTTCTCTTTCTCTGCTAATGTGATTGTGTGACCTGTTGGCGCGTCTGCTGGGTTTCTGCCTGTCGAGGTGCAGCTCGGTATCTGGAGGGCTGGCTGGTCTGGCAGAACAACTCTCTGGCTGTCAGGAACTTCGCTAGGCTGTTCCCACTTGCGAAACCTACATGCAGCTGTTGGAGGGAACTAACCACAGTAAGTGCTGGGTCCCTCCCTCCCCTTCCCCCCGCCCCAGCGCGCCGTGGGTGTCACAAGGGGGTCGGGCGCGTCGAGGTGCAGCTCGGTATCTGGAGGGCTGGCTGGTCTGGCAGAACAACTCTCTGGCTGTCAGGAACTTCGCTAGGCTGTTCCCACTTGCGAAACCTACATGCAGCTGTTGGAGGGAACTAACCACAGTAAGTGCTGGGTCCCTCCCTCCCCTTCCCCCCGCCCCAGCGCGCCGTGGGTGTCACAAGGGGGTCGGGCGCGGAGCGGAGCTAACCCACGCC